CCCTTCCACTCATTCCTGCTTTCCCAGGGCCAGAGCAGGCTGCCCTGAGCTGGTGCGCAGAGAAACCTGCTTCTCTTTATCATTTTCAATTTTTGTATGCTGTCCTGCTTTTTTCCAGAGACATCCCTGATCCCCAGAGACCCTTTTCTCCAGACGAGTGTATGCATGCTGGCCCAGCTAGCTGATCCTGAACCCTCCTCAGTGTTCCCCAAAGGACTCCGGACTGGTGGTGCTGCTTCTCTGAACAAGCGGCAATACTATCTCTGTACTGGCCGTGCTGGTTGGATGGGAAGGAGACCCAGCCAAAGAGGGCTTATGACCACTGACACGGCTCACACATGTCTGTGCTCATGAGTGGTGCTCAAAGTGACCCCAGGGCATTTGTGATGGCAGGAGATATGTTTGGGGTTGAACTAGCTCCAGCCCGTGGTGACTCACTGCGGGTACGTGAGTCACTGTCCAGTCCTCCTTGCCTGAGTCCACATTGCCTCTCCATGGATTGCAGAGCCCTCATTTCCCTATGCATGCTAGAATTTTGCTTTACTGCCTGGTAACTCCAACATGGACCATTCCTCACTGTGTGAGGCTCCACTCACTGCCCAAGCCCATGCCCACAATGTTCCCTGAGCTCTCCTGGGGACTCAAGATTCCCTTTCAGAAGGTTGGGCATCTGTCATCAGCACTGTAACCTGTGGGACAGCCTCACATAAGCAATCAGAGATCATTCAGCATCTCCACTGACAACAGTCACCAAGAAATGACCACTGAATCCAGCCCTTGGTCCCTAACAGATCACTCTGAGACTGTGATCATGTCCCATGGAGTCCACAGAGTGCACAGGAAGAGCAGCAGGTGCTTCTGTGGTGCAAGGCCTTGCATGTGTTTTTGATTCCAGGCCAAACTTCAGGCATGTCACAGTGCAGATCCCTTTTTATTACAAGAATGATATTCTGGAGGCCAAGTCTGGCATAAGGTGCCCATTACCTGGCCCTGTCTGAACTTAAAGGAGATATGCACATGGAAACACAACCCAATCACTGCCAGGCTATGAGAACCACTGAGCCATATACCCAGAACACAGCACAGAAGGACAGCATGGGAATGAAGAAAAGTCTAAAAAGAAAAAATCCTGCTGCTGGTGGTGGACATGGGAAACCTACAGTCATCTCACAAAGGCTTCAGGGAGGAAATGCCTGTTGTGGCAGTGGTGGGATGGTGCTGTCAAGCACAGGATCTGTCTCCATAAGCTGCTGCCTGACTCCCCTCCCCTCTGCTCTCCCTCTACTAGTAATGTTGGAGCAGAGTGCTGGAGAGGGAAGGGATGAGCCAACAGCTGGCTGTCACCCTCCCAGGAGAAGGGTGTGAGATCACACCCTAACTGTGGCCAGGGGAGCTGAGCTCTCCTGATGAACATGGCAACCATTGTCTTGCCCAATCTGTACCCATACAAGCATGATTCTGTGCTATGAGCAATCCTGCTGTCAGTTCAAAAGAGATCCCAAAAAAGGGAAGCTACTCCTTGAACTGGTGGCCGTCAAGGGAGCTCAGACTAGCGGGTCCTGATGTTCCTTTGTCTCCGCTGATGATGGGGGAAGCCCAGCTTCCTGCTTCAGCATTGTCTCAGACAATTAGAGATGCCTGAGGAAGAGTGGAATGAACCAAAACTCTTTATTTTTTTTCTCTTTACAAGAATGCAGCAGAGGAAAGTGATGAAATAAAGAAATGAATTAAAAATAGTTTTGAGGCCAAATGCGCTGTAAATGAGTGGATGCACATGGGATAGCTATTGGGAGAGAGGGTTGAGGGCTTCAAATAAGCAAAGATAAGTATGCTGACAAACAGAAAGACCGCAATCAGGTGAGGGAGGCACATGGAAAACACTTTGGACTATCCCTGCTCAGAGGAGATCCTCAACACAGCAGAGAAGATCTGCACATAGGACACCACAATGAAAACAATACACAGGGAAACTAAAGAAAGACTAACCACAAGAACTCCATCTTCCCTGAGGTAGACATCTGAGCAGGAGAGCTTGAGGATCTGGGGAGTCTCACAGAAGAACTGCTCCACAACATTGCCTTGGCAGAGAGGTAGTGAAAATGTGTTCCTGGTGTGCAGGGCAGCACAGAGAAAACTACTGGCCCAGGCAGCTGCTGCCATTTTGGCACAAGCTCTGTTGCCCAGGAGGGTTCTGTAGTGCAGGGGTCTGTAGATGGCCACAAAGTGATCATAGGCCATGACAATGAGAAGAAAATACTCTACCACAAGTAAGAAGACAAACAGAAAGACCTGGGCAGCACATCTCGAGTAGGAAGTGGCCCTGGTGTTGCTCAGAGAATTGGCCATGGATCTGGGGACAGTCACAGAGATAGAGACAATATCCAGAACAGAGAGACTGAGGAGGAAGAAGTACATGGGGGTGTGGAGGTGGTGGTCATGGGCTACAGCTGTGATGATGAGGCCATTGGCCAGGAGGGCAGCCAGGTAGAAGGCCAGGAAGAGCGAGAAGTGCAAGAGCTGCAGCTCCTGCGTGTCCGTGATTCCCAGGAGAATCATAGAATCATAGAATGCTTAAGATTGGAAGGGACCTCTAGAGGTCATCTAGTCCAACCCCCCTGCACACGCAGCGTCACCTAGAGCACGTGGCACAGGACTGCATCCAAGCGGGTTTTGAAGATCTCCAGGGAAGGAGACTCCACAATCTCTCTTGGCAGCCTGTTCCAGGGCTCTGTCATCCTTACTGTTAAGAAATTTTTCCTTAAGTTGGAAAAAAATTCCTGTGGAAACTGTTAAGAAATTTTTCCTTAAGAGGTACTTATAGACACTGCCCAGGTCCCCTCTCAGCCTTCTCTTCTCCAGGCTGAACCGGCACATCTCCCTCAGCCTCTCCTCATCGGGCAGATGTTTTGGGCCCCTGATCATGCTTGTAGCCCTGCACTGGACTCTCTCCAGCAGCTCCACATCTGTCTTGTACTGTGGGACACAGAACTGGACACAGTTCTTCAGATGTGGCCTCACCAGGGCTGAGTAGAGAAGGAACTCATTAAGGGAGGTACTGTTGAACATTTGCTCCCCTAGGCATTGAGGATGGTCCAAAGAAGGAAAATGAGCAGGGAGGAGATATTTTTCAAGAAAAGTGAAAAAAAGAAAAAAAAAAGGAAAAAAAAACAAGCAATTTTCATACAATGCCCCATATTGCCTCTCTTTTGCTGAGAAGATCCATGTGCTGTACTTTGCACTGCGTGTGCTGTGAGAATCGCTTGCTGCATAATGAGGATGGCCACACTATTGGCCTTGGTTCCAGTGTCTGGTGTTCCCACCTCTGTCAACCAGAGGATGAGCACACTCATATGTTGCCTGAAAAAAAAAAAAAAAAAAAAGAATGCAGAAGTAGCCCTTAGTTTTATTTTGGCTTTTAAGTCTAAAGAATAGTGAAGCCTCTCTTTCGAAAAACGATGACCTGTATTGCCTCTCGAATGTCCATATGCAGCCTCCCATCACCAGTTCCACATTCTTATTATTTTTGCACCTTCTTCAGAGTTTCTTGAAATCAAAGATCCTAGGAGGGCTTTTGCAGAGGGCAGCTCACAGCCTGGCAGGACACAACAGCGATACTGTCGTATATCCTAAAGATGGTCTTTCCTTGAGGGTAGAGCCAACTCAATTCCCATTCCATGGGCTGCATGTCCTGGTGCCTCATAGGTTAGAGGAGCAACCTTGCGCCCACACAGACCCCTCTGTTGCACAACTCATGGGGCAGCTATCTGAATTGTAGATGAAAACCTCCAACCCCAGAAAGCCCAAGAGAAAAACGGGAACAGCATGGACAGGAGGGGAAAAAAGGAGCAATACCATGATCCTGCTGCCGAGGGAGGCAAGGAGAGAGAGAGGGACAAGCACTTTGGAAAGTCTTCACCTTACCAGTTGGGCATGTCACCTCACAGACTGTGACACTGAAGGGCAGGTGACATTAGTCCCCAAATAGGCCCATGGTAGAGGAGTTGCGCCTCTTCTTTGCTGCAGCTCTGGCTGCAGAGGGGGTAGCTCATGATCTCCACTCCTTGGCTTTTGGACAAAGGCTTTGCTGGGTGTGAGAGAAGACATGTCAGGCTTACTCAGAGGAGGTGTCTGCATCCGCAGGACTAAGCATGACTTGCGAAATCCATGATGGTTCTGTTAGTTCCTCTTATTCTCCGATCTTCTCTGCTGCCTGAAGCTTTCCCTGCCAGGAGGTGTTTCTCTGACCCAATATCTTTTCTCTGCCATTGCTCACAGACCCCATCCTACCTCTGTGTGCTCAGCTCTGCCCTAAAGAAAACTTCCCGGGACAGGGTGCTGGCCAGGGGCATCTCTGTGCTTCAGGATCCTAAGGAGCAGGTCTCATAAACCACAGTGATACCACTGTGTGTCCTGTGAGCTAGAGCTGAGAGCAGCCGTAACTCATACAGTAACCTTTCAATGGAAGAATAAACCTGCTCTGACAGGAGTCGATCCTCCCACCAGACCTTCTCTTGGCAGTAGGTTCCCTGGACAGGAGGAAAGCTGACCTTGCAGAGGACGGTCACTGCCTCACGTGCACGGCACACTGAGGCTAGGCACACTGCTCTAAATTGGAGCCCTGGGCAGACCTGGGCACACATCCCAGCTTCACTCTCCTGCAGCGTCATGGGGAGAAGGTGACAGGCGGCACTGTCACTCTGGCAGTGTGGCAGTGAATCCCTGCTCTGAAGCATCTCCTGATTCTCTGCGCTCAAGAATCCGGGTGAGACATCCTAGAAAAACACTCATGGGAGGTGATATGTTTAGAAGGAGTCTTAGTGTCTACAGTCAGAGACTTACCAGACTGTAAGACTTTCAAAGTCTGTGAAGGTTCCTTCCACAGTGAGCTCCACTCTGCCCTGCCACTCCGGACTGCCTTTTACATCCCTCTGTCTTATATCAACAACATGCTCTTTTCAGAGGAGCTGCTCCTGGATGGAGCTGCCTCTTGATTGTGCTGACAGGTTGCCATGAGCTCTCTCCACCCCAGAAGCCTGGACCCATTTGGGGACAGTGGCCCAGCTGCGGGTGTGACTTTATTTGTCCTATATATGGCCTCTTCTTGGGAAATGTTCACTGAGGTAAACTAAAATAATCACAGACGGTCCTTCTCTAAGCTCTGAATAGGGACTAATTCCAGCATTGCAGTTTGTCTCATCAGAGGGTGGTTATCTAAGAGATGTGGAAATGTCACATTCTGGAAGACATTATTTCGTAACTATGCAGGACACCTAGAAAAAGGGCAATGAGGGACTTCTTTTACCAAAGTTCAGATGTTAATTTAGATGAGACAATCTGGACATGACATGGCAGATTAGAAACTCCTAGAATGGGATGGGATCCAGATCCCTCCTATGAACTTCACAGACATACAGTAAGTGACATTCCCCTTGCCAAAGATGAGGTGTGCACAAGAGGGATACATGCATGCAAGCTCCTTGTTTAGGAGTACCAATACAATCAACAGAGATGCAGTCAACTGCCTACACTCAAACACCTGGTGACATTTGAAGAGGCAGAGGTGGTCCCAGACATGTGGTGCCAGTATCTGCATGTGTTGACGGAGCAACTGAGATCCACATCCTTCCAAAGCCTCAGGTGGAGGCCAAGTGGGGAATTTCCTCAGTAATCTGAAATGACACTGAATGCCGACTACTGCTACTAGAGCTCCACTCACTAGGAAGTTGAGACTCATGCACATCTCTACGTTGCAAACAGTCAACATAATTCAGTTCAGACTGGGGTGTCCATCACAACCACATGTTTCTAGCAAATACAGCATGGGACCTACAGGAAAGCCTTTCCCCTTTTCGGTGTTTGCTGAGTAAATACCCCATGATCTCTCAGCTTTCCTATCTGTGTGCAAAAAAAAAAAGAAAAAAAAAAAGAAAGAATCCCATCACTGTCTTTAGTCAAAGTCACCTACAGCCCAAAATGCTGCATAAATGGGAGTCACATCACACCAAAGTCTTGTCTCTACTCTGATCTCTCCAACGGACATTGTACATACAGTGTTCTTGACCCTTCGTGATATGGGTCACCATGAGCAATCTACGCCCTATGCAACAGCAACCCAAATATGCACACGTGAATGCAGCCTGGGGCAGAGACAGCAGCAGATGGGAATGCGCACATTGTCACAGTACTGAAACATTGTTGGACTAACTGAGATGTGGTGGGATCGCTCACATGACTAGGTTGTGATAGCGCAGGACAAGCTCTTCTAGGACACTGTCGGGAGTTGAAGAAGGGGGATACCTTTTGTGTGAAAGGGCAGCTCAGATTTATGGTGCTCTTCCCTAGAATGGACAAGGAACAGAGTGAGAGCTTGTGTTTGAGCATCAGATAAGGATGACATTGTGATGGGGGTTAGACACCACCCAGTCTGTGTGATAAGGAGAAATCAATCTCCTTGAAGCAACCTGAGTAAGTCTGTGGGTCACAGGGCCTGGTTGTTATGGGGAGACCTTAATTCACTGGAAGGGCAAACAGCAGAGTCTTCCATAATATCCTCATAGGTGAGGTCAGGAAGTATAAGTTAGATGAGTGGAGATTGAGGTGGATTGCCAACTGGCTGAATGGCAGAACTCAAAGGATTGTGATGACTGGGGAAGAGTTTAGTTGGAGTCTCGTAGATAACAGTGCCGCTAAGGGATCAGTGTTGGGTCCAATCCTGTTCAACTTCTTCATAAGTGACTGGATGAAGGGACAGAGTGCTCCCTCAGCAAGTTTGCTGATGATACAAAAAGGGGAATAGTGGCAGAAATACCAGAGGGTTTTGCTGCTATTCAGATGGACCTGGACAGGCTGGAAAGATGGGCAGAGAGTTCAACAAAGGGGAGGTCCTGTAGGGACCCACACTTAGAGAGGAATAACCCCATGCGGCAATATAGGCCAAGAGCAGCTGTACAGAAAGGTACCTGGAGCATCCTGATGGACTACAGATAACCATGAGCCAGCACTGAGCCCTTGTGGCCAAAGACACCAATTTAATCTGAGATGTATTAGAAGAGTATTGCCAACAGGTTGAGAGAGGTGATGCTCCCCCTCTATTCAGCCCTCATGAGGCTGCATCTGGAGTTCTATGCCCAGTTCTGGGTTCTTCAGTGCAAGAGCGACCTGGAAATACTGAAGAGAGTCCAGCATAGGGTTATGGAGATGATTAGGGAACTGGAGTATGTCTCCTAGGAGGAGAGGCTGAAAAAGATGGGCCTGTTCAGCCTATAGAAGAGAAGGCAGAGAGGGGATCTTATGAGTGCATCCAAATCCCTTAAGAGAGGATGTCAAGAGCATGGGGCCAGATTCTTTTCAGTGGTGACCTGTAGTGAATGATTACATGGACCCCAATTAGTATTTAATCAGAATCGGGATCGAGATCCCTTTATTGCTCAAGTAAACACCTTATATATTAACGCAATGTCTACCAGAGCCAATCAGCTTTGAATTTGTAGCCTTGCAGATGCCAGTCATCAGCTGGCCCCATGCTATTTCCAGCTACTCTCTAAAGTAAATTTCTCATGGGAACAGCAAAGGGAGGTCCAGTATGCACTGATCTTTCAAGGTCACAGGAGAGCGCTGTTCCGTCTCAAGCTATACCATCTCTCACATTTACCCCCTTTTGTTTAGCCAGGCCATTGACAAAAGGATCAGCCATGATTTGGGCTTCAGCCTTTTGCAGTCTTCTCATCTAGGCCTACATATTTTGTTTAGAGAAGTAAATATATTTATTATATATATATGTATATATTCTCATTATATATATATATATGATATTTATATAAGTAATTATATTTATTCATATATGTATATTTCATATATATCCATATACATACACATATATATTGTATATATTTGTATGTTTGTATTTATATTCATATTTATGAAATTTATCTACATATATATTCATAATATGTATATTTTATATTTATATAGCTATATTTATTCATATGTATTCATAATATATATGTTTTATATAAATAATTATTTTATTCATATACATATATATATTCATTGAATATATATATATTATATATATATCCATATGCTTTTTCATATATACATATCTCCCTCTCTTTTTTTATAGGATTAGTACTTACTTGTTACAGGAAACAAAGCACTGGAATTCATGATACTCAGATTAGATGCTTATAAAAGGACATATGGATGTGAAAAATTAAAAGACATATGGATGTGAAATTATGTAACCTGGTGGGTGTGAAGAAGAGTCAAATTAGCCTGAGAATGGTTGCAATTAGTCGGTAATTGAGAAACATTTCTTTCAAAAAAAAAAAAGGCCATACGCCATTATTGCCAATTGGAGTGGATGCATCGCACCATTTCAGGGGTCAAAATAATGGCAGATCAATTATATGAACCCAAGAAATTTGTGCAGGTATACTCATCACACATACAAACATCCATAATATTCCATATTGGTTATCCATGTTAATGATATAGGTTCAGATCAATGTACATAAAAGCATAAACTATTAATTACATAGGATAAGATCAATATACATAAAAGCATAAATCTGCAAACATCACCACATCTATTCCCTACTCCATCGAATGTTTAGAAATGATTCATGATTCACTCTAGTCACTCTGTGATTTCTTCGCTCTGTGTCAAGTAGCATCTCCCAGGAGACTTCCAGACGCCTTTCAGGAGCTGATAGCCCTGGAGTCCCAGGGCTATCTCAAGAGAGCCTGAGGACAGTGCATGTCACGCCTTCAGCTAGATCTCTGCTTCTGCCTGGGCCTGGCTCCTGGGATTGAGGCAACTCATGGCAACCAGGCAGGGTTGCCGAGAGACAAGCTATGTGCAGGAGCAGCTCCTCTGCAAAGAGCAGCAAGGCTCCGGGCTCCTCTTGGCTCTTGAAGGTGCCAAGGGGAGATGAGTGGTAAGTGTCTGGCTGCAGAGAAATATTGGTGATGTGCCCTGAGGGGGTCCTACAAGGCTAGCACATCCCTTGGCCAATGGGATCTGCCAGGATGTCTCTCCCAGTTTCCTTTCCAAAAAGCAAGAGGTTCTTTAGAGCAGGAATTCCCTGCCACAACATTACAGGGATAGGGCATCCTGCTATCTTCTCCCAGGAATTTTTGCAGAGACATGCAGCTGGGCTGTGCACGCAGGTCTGTCAGGGCCATAATTCACAGCAGGGTCCCCACACCTGAGTGCTCTGTGCCTGAGTCAGTGTCTCCAGTGCCTGCCGGGATCAGCACTCAGCCTGCTTGGGGAGCTCCCTACGGTGCTGCAGGCAGAAGCTCTGTGTGGGGAGGTGAGACCCCCCAGCTGAGCAGGTTCATTCTACTCTTGAGAGGCGGCTGCATGGTGAGGGCTACTCAGAGCTCCTGCTCACCTGCAGAACACCTCTGGAGGAGACTTTCAAGAGGAAACTCATAGAATTATAGAATCCTCAAGGTTGGAAGAGACCTTTAGAGATCATCTAGTCTAACCCCCCTGCACACACAGGGTCACCTAGAGCACGTGGCAAAGGATTGCGTCCAAGTGGGTTTTGAAGATCTCCAGAGTGGACTCCACGATCTCTCTTGGCAACCTGTTCCAGTTCTCTGTCACCCTCATACGTGAGAGGGAAGGCATTTTCAATAGACTCTCCTTTTGTTTTGATTTTATTTATCAGGGCACAAACTGAAATGATATTTGGGGGTTAGATGAGAGAGTGAGAGCTCTGCAGTGCTACTGTAAGGGATCAAGATGTCTGTGAGAATCCTCAGACAATTCCTTCAACCAGGGACCAGCAATATCAGTTTTGCAGTTCTCATCATCCTCACCATCCTCATATCCTGCAAACACAAAGCTGCCCCTGGGCAGTCCTTTTTTTCCAGGAGTTTTCTGCAGGGCAGAGCTGAGTGCCCAGTAGGTGGGAGAGGATCTGTGAGCCCTGAGGAGGAGAGACGTGGGGACCGAGAAAGAACTCCCCACAGGAACAGCTTCAGACAGCAGAGGGAATGCTTGGAAAGTGCCCAGAGAAACAGTGTGGCCTGTTAGATTTAGGCAATTCTCTTCTGGTCCTTCATTGCAGATGTCTTCCTCTGAGAATGGCACTCTGCTCTCCCACCAACAGATCCCTCCCTCTGCTCTGATGGTGAGGGGATCTAGGGCATCCTTCACTTCTTTGGCAGTCCAATTTCCGAAAAGCAGGTCTGCCTCTGTTCTGCCATGCACCCATTTCCATCTACAAGGCAAAAGAGCTGAGAACTACCCTGGAAGGACACACAGTTTGGGAGGTGGCGTGCAATCTCAGTAAGTTTCCCATCTCTGTCTCTCTCCTTCCTCAGCAACATGGTCACTGTGTTTCAACTTGTTTCCTTACCTCTCCTTTTTGCTCTTGTATTTGTTAGGAGGCTCAGGGGTATGCACGTTCACCTACAAATTCAGACACTCACCCTGAGGTCCTGCCATGGTGATGTCTGCATAGGAGCAAGGTGCTCAAACCCTGTTAGCACCCTGGGGCTCTAGGCAATGAGGTCAGAGGGGCTGGAGAAGGAGCTGACTGTCCTGTTAGAATACCCTATTTTCAGCACACATGACTATTTATTTCCTTCAGGTGTCCGGCTGGCGTTGTGAACTGCCCACCAGAAGGGCACGGCCCTCGCATAGTATCTTAACAGCTCTAGAGAAGCTTAGGAGATTGTTATGTCGCAGAATACTCCTGAGCAGCCTTGTTTGGCTACAGCTGAAGTGAACCTGACATTTTGTCATCTAGAACAGGAGTGCTGAGAGCTTCAATGTCTACCAGCACTCACCTCACAGTCCTTGGTCTGATCATCTATGCCAGGAGCAAAGTCCTATTCCTTCCCTCACATCTCCACCTGAGGCTGTGAAAGATAGAAGAGTTAGGAGATCTGTACACTGAAACTGGCCTCCCTTGATCTCCCTTTTGAGAGTAACTTGTGTATGCAGTCACCCTCTAGGTTAACAGAGGGTGAGAACAGGGCTGCTGGAAACAAGACTGATGGACCCAACAGCTCTCCTGACTCGAAAGTAAGTCACAGGGAGCCAATTAGTCTTTCCAACCCTTTTTTTTTTTTTTTTTTTTTTAAGTATTTATACTTCTACCAGCCAAATGTCTGCCAGGCACTCAGGAAATGTGATGATGGAATCTAAAAATTTCCAGACAAAATAATTGTAAAAAAGTGCTAAACAAGTCTGCTGCAGCCCACACTTTCTATAACAGTTTGTGAGGATTTTTTTCCATCAAATGTGGACTGTCTTTGACACCAGTTGCCTCCCAGAAATAGAATGAAAATGCATCTGTATTTGGGGAAAGGGTGAATTCCTGTGAAAAACAGATTTTTTTTCATAGAGAAATCGCTCTAAATTCTTACTGTTTTTCTCTTCAGAGAGTTCCCCTGGATCCCAGAGGAAAATATATCTAACAGCAGCTTCCTTAACAAGATCCTCCTCGGGGCATTTGCAGACACACGGAAGCTGCAGCTCTTGCACTTCTCGCTCTTCCTGGCCATCTACCTGGCTGCCCTCCTAACCAACAGCCTCATCATCACAGCTATAGTCTGTGACCACCGTCTCCACAGTCCCATGTATTTCTTCCTCCTCAACCTCTCCCTCCTCGATCTTGGCTCCATCACTGTCACTGTTCCCAAATCTATGACCAATTCCCTGAGCAACGCCAGGGCCATATCTTACTTGGGATGTGTTGCCCAGGTCTTTTTCCTTGTCTTCCTGTTGTCAGCAGAATATTTTCTTCTCACTGTCATGGCCTATGACCGCTTTGTTGCCATCTGCAGACCCCTGCACTACGAAACCCTCATGAACACCAGAGCTTGTGCCAAAATGGCAGCGGCTGCCTGGGTCAGTGGTTTTCTCTATGCTGCCCTGCACACTTCCAACACATTTTCACTACCACTCTGCCAAGGCAATGCTGTGAACCAGTTCTTCTGTGAAATTGCTGAGATCTTCCAGCTCTCCTGCTCAGAATCCTACCTCAGAGAAGTTGGAGTTACTTGTGTTAGTCTTTGCTTTTTCTTTGGGTGTTTTGTTTTCATTGTGGTGTCCTATGTGCAGATCTTCTCTGCTGTGCTGAGGATCCCCTCTGAGCAGGGACGGCACAAAGCTTTTTCCATCTGCCTTCCTCACCTGACTGCTGTCTCCTTGTCAGTCAGCACTCTTACTTTCGCCTACCTGAAGCCCCCCTCCATCTCCTCCCCACATCTGGATTTGGTGGTGGCAGTGCTCTATGCAGTAGTACCTCCAACACTGAAACCCCTCATCTACAGCTTGTGGAACAAGGCGTTGAAAGATGCCTTGATGAAACTGCTTAGCTGGGTACTGCATCAGTATCGGTAATTCCGATGTGCATCCACTCATCATTCACAGGGCTTTTGGCTTGATGGCTATGTTTTGTTCACTTCTTTCTTTCCTATATTACATTCTTGTGCCTGCATGTGTATCAGGGTACAGCCCACCCCTTCAGCACCCACTGACTCACTAGCTGCCCTCACCAGTTGACGTAAAGGGGAGGAGAGTCAGGCACAGCACAGACCATGTGCTTGACAGTATCATCCCTTCTCTGCCACAGCAGCCATTTCCTCACAGCAGCCTTTATAAGATGGGTGCCGCTTTCCCAAGACATACCCACCAATGGTATCAGGAATTTCTTTTTTTAGAGTTGTTTTCTTCATTTCCATGCTGTCCTTCTGTGCTCTATTCTAGGTATATGGTCCAGCAGTTATAACTTGCTAGTGATAGGGTTGTGTTTCCATGTGCATATGTCCTGTAAGCTTGGACTAGACCTGGCATCCAAAATATCATAATAAAAAATGATTACCTCTGTAACAAGCCTGAAGTTTGGCCTTTCTTCAGAATCTCTTTTGATCTTCAAATCAAAAATACATGCAAGGAATTGAGCTGCAAAAGCACCTGCTGCTCTGCCTGTGCACTTTGTGGGCTCCATAGGACGTGATCAGAGTCTCAGTGTGATCTGTTAGTGACCAAGGGCTGGATTCAGGGTTCCTTTCTTGGTGACCAGTGCCAGTGGAGATGCTGGATGGTCTTCAGTTTGCTTGTGTGAGGCTGTCCCACAGGTTACAGTGCTGATGACAGATACTCAGCCTTCTGGAGGGGAATCTGTGCCCCCAGGAGAGCTCAGGGCATCTACAGAGATAGTGTGTGCCTGGTGGTGTGCAGCAAGTGGAGCCTTGCAAAGAGATGTAACCCGAAAATCAAGAAAATTGTGAAAATAATGCTTTTTTTTTTAAAAAAAAAAGATAAATTATTTTCTCGGTCATTCTGGACAAATCATGACAAGTCATGATGGAAGTCTTACCCCTATCTGAGGATTGGTATGGTTTTGCAAATAGCTGCCTCATGCCGGGAATTACACTCCTTACCTTGCACATTATAATGTGCAACCAGGGAGTCATTTACCCCCTGCTGCCCAACAGGGAGGGAGGGAGGAGAAACACACATGTGCAGAGGGCAGAGCGGTCAGGGAGATTTTATAAATATTTGGGTCATTGATGCACAAGAGTCAAAGGGAGTGTTGCTGTTGTTGTTGTTTTGGTCTGTTTTTTTTTTTTTCATCCTTTCCAGTGTTAATGGTATTAATTCCATTCCCCTACCCTTCCAACTCAAGGAGTTAATTTCTGACTGTCCTGGTTAGTGCTAAAGAAGCACAATGCTAAAGGGCAGAAGTGCTACAGACTGATGTTTGTTTTTGTTTTCGGTGTAGCCACAGGGCAGGCACTTAGGAGATAATAAATGATCCTGTGGAGGAAAAAAACAAAACCAAAACCAAAAAAACCTCATGAGCTTAAGAGCTAGAGTCCAAAGTCTTTTTCTCTGTCTTTTATGCTGGAAGGTTGGGAGTTGGTGTCACATGGAACTGAGTGGGGTATAAAAGCCAGCAGCACATGGTCCATCAACTACAGTCCTGCCCTTACCCCTTGGCAGTCCTTGCAACTTTGTGGTGAGAGGGATTTCTGGCTAAGAAGCAGTCCTGTGAGTAGGGAGAGGATCACAGGAGAGGGGAGCACCTGCTTCTGCAACTGGCATGGGGAAAGTACTCAAAAAGAGTGAAGAAATAATGTCCTGGGATGGCAAAGAAAAAAGGTTCGGGGTACTGTGGAAAAGGGAACCCTGGAGAGAGACGAGTGGGAATGCAGGGAACTCTGCCTAGGGGTGGACAAACAGCCAGTCAAGAGTGTAAGGGTGAGGATTAGGGGGCAGAACAGCAGGGAGGCACTTGTAGTGCGTGTCTCCTGTGAAGGACCTGAAGAAGAGCAGCATCTACAAAGCTGGGGAGCACAGAGCTGGGAAGTGGAAAAATCATCCTGCTCCCCAGATACCTGCTCATAGACTTGGGAAAGAGGCAATGACATGGTGAGTGGTGTCCCCATGGGGACCACCAGGGCTTTATGTTGGAGGTGGCATTGTCCCCACAATTGTGACAGGGCAGTCTCTCATATCCCTAGAGTCCCAGGGGTCCTCACTCTGAGGCTTAACCAGGAGGAAGCAATTCCTTTTGGTGCCAGAGCAAAAGGTCCTCAGGAGATTGTGCTAGAGATGGAAAAGGAGTAGCAGGAGAACGCCTGCTCCCAGCCCTCAGACAGGCTCCTGGCACAAAGGAGGAGAGGATCAAGGTCTGCCCCTGTCTCTGTGTAGAGACTGTCTAGGAGCCATAGGAAATTGTTGCAACAAAAATGTAGGAGGTGCAGATGAGAAGGAATTTGTCTTCCAAGGTTAGAAGGAACCCTCATGATGGTGAGGATGACAATGCCCAGCTGGTTGGGGCTAGGAGAAATGGAGGGAGGAGGATGGAAACAAGTCCAGAAAAATGGTTCAGTTGGAATCAGTGCAGGACAGTCTTACCACTGCTGTGTTTGCAAAAGATGTGGTTAATTACCTTGCAAGACTCAAAAAACCCTCTGTCCTCTAAAAACAAAATGTCATTTTGTGCCTGCCTATGTATCCAAATTGCCTCCTGTATGCTTACCTGTGTGGGATTGAGACACCACAGGAGGAGAAATTTGGCACTCCTCAGGCAGCACCCAACTCTTACACTTGCTTACACTTGTGTTTAGAAGGAGGAGTCAGAGAGGGCCCATGGCATTGATCACTCACATTGAACTGCTCAGCTCAGAGCTCAGAGGCCTGTGGTCATTGTCATGGATTCTAACTGAGGGTCAGTCCCCAGCGATGTAGACCAGGGACTGATATTGGGCCAAGTATAAGTTCAGTGTGAGTCAGGAGTGTGCCCTGGCAACACAGAAAACTACCACATCTTAGATTGTATCAGGAGTTTTGGCTGCAGGTCAAAAGAGGTGATCCTTCCCTTCTACTCAGCACTGCTGAGACCACATCTGGAGTGCTGTGTCAAGTTCCAGGCTCCCCAGTATAACAGAGACATGCACATACTGGAGCAAGTCCAGGTAAGCGCCAAAAGGATATGAATGTAAAAATCCCTATGTGCTGTGATTCAGTGAATCTTCCCCTGGAGAGCTCTATAAAGACTGACTAAGCATCAGAAGAAGAAAGGACAGAGGCAGAAGAAGATATGGGAAATATGACAATATAGATGGAGTAATTCCTCACACCTTCTTCATTCAGAGTGCTGGTAGGAAATGTATTCTGATGACAAACTGTATATAGATCTGTATCCATCTATCTATATTAGAGTCACATGAGGAGAGTAATTAAAGTAGTGGATGACATAGTGCTGCCAATAAACAGAGAAAAAATGATATAAAACCTTGAAACTGTGGAAATGTTTTTTTTTTTTTGAGTTCCTGCATAGAGTTATTATTAAAATATTTTTCACCTTATAAGTAGATGTTTGCATGTAGGCCTTCATTCATTTGTAGATATACATAGGCACACATTACCCAGCTACCTCTGGGTAGCTGTGTTTCCATGTGGCGATGGGAAACGTGATCCTAGACCTGTTTGAACTTTTCTGGAGCACGAGCTGGGCCTCAGGAGTCTCCTTTCTCTTCCTTGTTTAGAAAGGGAAGTCCAGGCAGCTGGATTAGACACAGACATCCACACTCGTGGTGTCTGGCATGGGGTGAGATCAGTCTCATCTCTCTTGTCACCTCAAATGCAGTCACACTTCTTTTGCCATGCAGGGAATGAAAAGACAGTGCAGCTAGATGATCAAGGACTCCTGTCAGATGTCAGTGTAACACAGTGACACAATTTTGAGATTAGCAACAAACTGGTCATCTAGAGATAGAGCATTTCAGTGAAACTGGTCACCCTACTTTCCTGTGTCTGTAGAGGGAGCTGCACACATCAGGATGGAACTGCTTAGCTAAAGAGAGGATGGGAGCTCTCGAGAGGGAGTATTTGCAGGCGCACTGAAATTTGCGTGAGACACAGAATAACTTTGCAATGATGTGGTCTTGATTAAAACAGAAATATTTAGAAAATGTCCAAAAATAGAAAAAAAAAAAAAAGAAATTGAGAACATGATCTAATACAAAGAAAATGTTTGATACCTTTCAGCTTTGTCAATATTTTGTCTTCATTTTACTTTCTTGGTTATATTTTGTTTTAATGTACTGGCCTTTTGCAGGGATGAACTTTTGTGATTTCTATGATTTCAGCTCTTTCTGCTTCCTTTTTTCCATTTTTGAAAAGGAAAGTGATTTTCAGAACTGGGGTGGGATGCAGTCACAAGATCATGGATGTGTAATGCCATTATAGCACCTGGGTCTCCTCTGCCCAGCCTCCATCTGCAGCTTGGCGGGGCCTATGCCTGTGCCTGGCCCTGTACATCTCAAGTGCTGACCTAGCCCTGTCTTTGTCCTGTTGACCTGACTCCCCATCTCTATATCAGACCCACACCCCTCATTACAGTCAGGAAAGTCTTGTCAAGGGAAGCTTCCAAGGGATGTTAAAAGAACCCAGAGATGGTCGTAGGTACAAAAGGTGACCCTATATCCACAGCATCAACCCTTGCCTGACAACCAAACTAAAGATATAAGGACTGTATTGGATTTGGACCCCTACTCTGGTAACAGTGCACACAGAGTCTTAGTTGAATGAAAAAACTAGGACAGCCAGCTGGGGTGATTTTATGATACACAGTTAGCAGGTTTTCCTATATATTATCTGTTGAGTGTTTATGAACCACTTATGACTGGCTTCTTGCTGCAGTGAGTATGTTGCTGGGAACAGCAAGAGCGGGGCTTCTCCATACAGGACGTAGAGCTGGTAGACAAGGGTGGCAGCTAGGCAGGTAAGGAAGTGCCCCACAGATCATAGAATCACAGAATCATAGAATCATAGAATGCTTAAGGTTGGAAGGGACCTCTAGAGGTCATCTAGTCCAACCCCCCTGCACA